CCATCCATCCATCCATCCATCCATCCATCCGTGTCAAAATTACCGTGTGAAACTTTTTCTTAATATTTTCCACCTTAATTAATTTTATCCTAAACTAAATCAAGTCAAATCCATCTTATCCGTATAACCTTGAGTACCAAACTTCTATTTTAATCTAAAGTCCATCAACTCCCAAGGAGACTTTAAATCCGCCGAGCAAGTATTTCCGTGCTACGTGTCGTTAAACCGCATTTGCAGCACCATTTGGAGGAAATTAAAAATAAACCTACTTTTGTATACAGCTCACACTAACCTACGGCAAATCAATTCGGTGGTAATATAGTAACTCTTCGATCTTGTGATCAACAAAAAGTCATCGTGATAGAAGATTCCTGACATTAATCTTGACAATGCTCGCATATTGGTGACTGTGACAAATGGTGCGTTAGCCAGGGCAAACCACGAGCGGTTACTATTGCTTACTATCAATCACGTGACTTTTTGGAGTTGACTGGGGGGCAAAGAAGCGGTTGGCTGGGGGGCAACTAGCGGATGCTAAGTCAAAACATATCAAAATAAGTCCTCAAACTATTGTATTTGACTATTTTCACGACATCAAACCAGAAAATAAAAGATCAAAACAACCTCCAGGATTCTGCAAGCCATCAAAAAAGAGCTATTATTGGAAGTGACGTCTATTGATAGCAACCTATTACAACGAGATTAATTGGTTAAAATGTATCTCTTTTTATTGTGTTTTTTTCCAGGTCGCTTTACGCTGTAGTTGATGTTTATCTTCGGAATTATTTTGATAGAATGTTGAGTGGTGTTCAAGCTGATCAGGTGAAAGAAATATAAGTAATGTTTAGAATAGGAGTAGTCGTTTTGTATCAGTAGGTTTTGATAGAATGTTGAGTGGTGTTCAAGCTGATCAGGTGAAAGAAATATAATGTTGAGAATATAAGTAGTCGTTTTGTATCAGTAGATTTTGATAGAATGTTGAGTAGTGTTCAAGCTGATCAGGTGAAAGAAATATTACTAATGTTTAGAATAGGAGTAGTCGTTTTGTATCAGTAGATTTTGATCCAAGCCGAAGGCGAGGATCTATATCTCCGATACAAAACGACCACGAATTTTCTAAATTGCTTCTAAAACTCAGTGTTCTATACGTTCCACTTGATAGTTCCCTGGGTCCGAAATCAAACCGCCCTCGGGCTTTTTAGATTGTCGAGTTTCTTTATCGGGTATAAAGATCCATGCACGTGATGGATTTGAAGGAACTGATAGGTCTAAGTGCTCATTAATTAATCATGAGGTTTAGAATATTATTAAATGGCTGCACATGCCTCCTCTCCTCTGCTCTCCTCTCCTCTCCTCTCCTCTCCTCTCCTCTCCTCTCCTCTCCCCTCCCCCCCCCCCCCCCCNTCTCCTCTCCTCTCCTCTCCTCTCCTCTCCTCTCCCCTCCCCTCCTCTCCCCTCTATCCCTCCCTCCCCTATACATCCTCAGCCATCCATTTTTCTTCCAGTTTACTTAAAACTATTGACTCAATTCAAACAGCTGCCTGCTATTCAAACAACTTTAGATTTTTAAGACGAAAACTTGTTCTAAACGACAGTTTTCATATGTAGTCTCATATCGTGTGAAATTAAAACAAACAAAACTGTTCCTCTTTGAAACACGGAAAATGAAAATCGCTTTTTAATCTTAAAGAAGACAAACATTTCCTCCAAACAGCTGTAATATCAGGCATTTCATAAATTTGAAGTAGAAACAAAAAAAGTCACGTAAGAATATTTTTGTCGCTTTATATCAATGTTTAAAAAAAGGATAGCATTTTTTCATGAAATCGAAAAAGGAAAAGAGAAAGAGAGGTAAACAGATTTAAATGAATGAAAGAATAAAAAGAAAGAAAAAAAATAGAAAGAAAGAGATGAAGAAAAAAAAAGAAATTCTCGATTCATTTGATTCAAAGTGTATATTTACAATACATTTATTTTTTAATGCTATTCCTTTTTATCCATTTATCATCTCACATACCTGATGTTCAGTAGCGTGCTCTCGTCTTTATTTCCGTGTTTTCTTTTCTTCCAGGAAGTTTTAAAAGAGCTCGTAGCGGAGAAACTTCCAGCCCTGCACGCTCACCTCAAATACTACGGTGTCGATATCTCTACCGTCACTTTTAATTGGTTTATCACGGTTTACTTAGACGCTGTCCCTTTTGAGGTAAAACGAAAGATTCGGTAATTAAATTCTTGCTTTTGTCTTCAGCTGTTAGTTTTGTAATTGTTTGACCCCTCCCCCACCCCCAACGGAAAGTAAGATTGCAGACTGAATGAACTTCTACTTTGGCTGTAATGTTTCCCCATTTTCAAATCTCTTGGGGATATTGCTTGTCAAACAAACACTAGTAAAACCAACAAAAAGTACACAAAAAACGCTCACTRAAAAGACCAGAAATTGTTTTAAAGATTTGAACGAAAGAACTAGAACAGAACTAGAGCACATGCAATACAACCATGAAATAAGAACGAAGTTGATACTGACAAATAAGAACGTTTTAGTAACTAAGTAGTTGCTATCACTCGACCAGAACATTCATTACACAAAGACACACACAACAGACCATTTGTGTCTTTGCGGAAGAGCCCCTTATGGGAAACAATAGCTTTACATATAATTTTTCAAACTATATTTTACTCGTATATTCGGTAATTGCTTCAAAGTTCTCGTTGACTTTTCCATGCTTAATAAACTACTCGTTATGTTGTTGCTCTAAAATTGCATAGAAAAATCTTCCATTAGACCTCAACACTAATAAATACTGTTAAACTGTTAATTCACATTTGTGGCTTCGGCTGGCGTCAAAATCCATTAGAAAACTTCTTTTTCTTTTTTGCATTGTAATATTTGAACGTTTTAAGATACAGTCAATGTCATTAACGTTGTCCACCGAAAAAAGACATCTAGACATTTACACATTTAGACATTCAGAGTAAAAGAAATATCAAGTGTTTCCTTGAAGGTTCTGGCATAAAACAAACGCTGAAATACCATTCTCCATCTTAAATCCTCACTTAATGTTCGGGCATTTTTGGATTTTCGATTCACGAGTTGAATTTTACATTTAAAGTTCAGGCTGACGCACACGAGGCAAAGAACACATAATGAAACACGTGATATTTCTTTTAGCCTAAATGTGTAAATGTGTAAATGTTTTTTCTCGGTGGACAACGTTAATGACATTAACTGTATATCGTTTCTCAACAAGAACAAAGAAACACGAAAGTACCCATGCCTACAAAATAAAAGCTACACTGCTATTGAATTATCCTATCTTACTACTCTTCCTATTCAAAGCTTTCCCCAAAATATTTTAAGCATATTTTAAAGCTTCCGTGCTGAATCTTTGAATAAGAATCATTTATAGTGTTAGTACGTGGGCTTTTAAAAGACCCTGGCATTCAGGTAGATATTTACGCAGCTTCCACTAATGGTTGCTGATTGTCTGATCAGAAGTATTTGTCTACGCAAGCGCTAGTTTATTTTATCGTTCAAATTTTTATGTTCAAATTTTATGTTCAAACAAAAACAGGGCAGAGCTAACTTAACTCGCAGATAAAATAATTCAAATCAATTCAATTCAATTTATTTACACACTAAAAATAGTAAAAAAAAATACAACAAATCATGATTGTTTATATTTACAAGTTATTCTAGTCTATAAAAAAATATATAAATAAATATTAAATATAAACAGTTACTATAGTGAGTGTGCAGTGATGGTTTAAGTAGTATAAACTTTCGAGTAAACCATCACTACATACAGAAAATATAAATTATATCATGACAAGATTGTGGTGCAAAACTAGCACAAGTATTTTTAATAGCTATATGAATGTATATATTTTGAAATCTTAGTTATATACTGCTATTGGGTACTCAACATGTGATTTTAATGAACTTTGAATGAATTGATATTTTTAATAATTAAAGGGATGATAAATAATGATAGCATGAGTTTAGCTTGTTAGATTTTTCGGAGGGAGAAAAAACCTGAGAAACGTGAAAAAAAATCCTTAAATCAAGGGAGAGAGATAACAAACTCTACTCGTCCAGGAATCAAACTCGAGGTGAGAAGCGAGTGTACTACCACTACGCCACCTTTGGTTCCCGTATTATTTTTCAAAGACGTCATAAATTAAGAGAATTCATTATGTTTAATATTGCAGACGGCCGTTCGTATATGGGATAGCTTTCTGTTCGAAGGAAGAGAGGTGAGATACCGCTTGTATTTTTTTCAAAAACGTTGTCGATGTTTTTATTAAAATATTAAGATTAACATTACAATATTAATCTTGTCGTTTCATATCACTATTCGTCTACTAAAACTCACCACTGCCCATGGTATTATCAACCCCACCCTACCCCCTGACATGACATATTTGTTCGTATTGTCCTTAGGTGTTGTTCCGTATCGCTATTGGTCTACTAAAGCTTCAAGAACGATCATTACTTCAACTGTCTGGACATTTGGAGATCATGCAGTACATGAAAAGAGCTGCCAGGGTGATGTATGACGTCGATAGGTTATTCAAGGTACAGTCACTGTACGAATCAAAAACCTTGAGAGTAGATGGCGTACACGGTACACGGCACGATCATTAGCCTGCAAAGCAGGCCTTCTTGTGGATTTGGGGAAAACCCGGTTTTTGGGGGAGCTTTGAAAATTTGGAACGAGTGAGAGTTAAAACCCTTTTTTGCTAGGTCCCATTTTTCTCGCGGGTACGTAGTCGAAACAGGGACCCCAAAACGCCGATTCTTCCTCACACCCATCACAAGAACGCCTGCTCTGCAGGCTACACGATCATTGAATATTCGTTGAACAAATCACAGCGTGCGAGGTCAATGCTCGTCCACGAATCAGAAAGCTCGCATGCAGTACCGTCGCAGTCACGCGACGGCACAACCACGAGAAAGTTTCTCTAACACATGGTGTGGTATGATATCATTGCTCATCCAATCAGAGTGCAAGGATACGGCAACGTCATGTGAACACGTGACGTCATGTTGCCACAGGTAAACCCAACATTAAAAAAGCTGAAATAATTTTTCGTCTGTTTTGTAATCAGGCGTCATTTGAGGAAATGACAAAGTTCCCTACAAATGAAATGCTGGACGAAAAACAGAAGCAATATCGAGCGGATATCAAATCCAAGCTGGGCCACGTGTCGCCCATCAAGCATGAAACTAGCGTATGTATATCGTTTATACTCGAGGGGAGGAGTGGTAGGGATTCTTCTTGTTATAGACCGATTTTCGCTAAGGTCGTTCAAATTTTCTTGGTTTTGTAACTTACAAGGCTTTGTTGATAGCAGTGATGTGCCACTTCTCATGTCCCTTTTGATCCTCAGATCTTCTGACTTTATATGTTGGTAGAGTTGCTTGTTAATTCTCTTCTGTGTTTTGAGGGTTTTTTCCGAATTCTCCGGCTCTAGTTTTCTCCCTCCGCGAAAATCAACTCTTACTGAATTCCAATTCAACGGGGCGTCTAGAGCGCTCGTGATAAGCCTTTGGCTCAGAAGCCAGACTGAGGGAGGCTGATTGAGTGTTGTGCTGTAAATATGAAATGTAATGCTAGTACGGCTCGAGCAAACCTCACGGAAGAGCCCCATGTATGGAGTGATTGATTTTTTATCACTCCCTACGTGATCAACGTAAATTAATTTTTATTTTATTTTATTACCCAGAGATCGCGAGTGAGTTCCTTTACTGTCGAGCTCCCAAGCCAAGACAAGGTGGATCGATTTGATCAGTATCAGATGGTTGAGTGCGCTGTTGCAACCAGTAAAGGTATACTATGTTTACTACAAAGGTGTGACTTAAGAATGAGGAGTAGATAAATAGCGCAGCGCAACCGTGACGTCATAAAAACGAAGACAAAGGCGAAATTCGGACAAACAAACTTACGAGCTTACTTTCAGCAGATAATTTTCACAGCCGATCGCAGTTGATCTTAGTTTACATGGGTTATTATTGTAACTTTAAGTAAAAATAATAAAATCGGTTCGTATAATCCTCGTAGCGGTTAAATAGAATGCAATGTTTTTTCCGAATCTTTAAGCTATTTTTAGAATCATTGCGCTGCGCTACTGGGGGGAGCAGGCGAGGGGTGCGAACTCGTTACTTAAATTAGATTCTCAGTGGACCAGTCTCAAAATTATCGTGGACGCGAGGCTAACATGAAAATACAGGAAAAAAAACGCACTTTTTCTCGATGGAATTTGTGACATTTCTTTTGTATTTCCATGTTAACCTCGCATTCAAGATAATTTTGAGAAGGGTGCAATTATTTAATAATCTTGAAACAAAAAGAGCTAAATGTTCATAGAAATTATCATTCCATGTTGCGATAACTGGAAAGACCTTTGCAAATGAATGGTTTTATCTTGGTGAGATATCCGTGGATTTGGCAGGAAGTTATTTGGCGCCAAGACGCGTCTTCCCCCAAACACATGTTGGTGAGATATCCGTGGATTTGGCGGGAAGTTATTTGGCGCCAGGACGCGTCTTCCCCCAAACACAGTCCTTGTTTAGGGACTTGCTACCCCACTACCCCCTACATATCTAAATGGTTAAACAAAAACAGAAAATAACTTTTTTTTTGACTGGGAAAAATAGGATTAGTTGCGATGGGACTCTAACCCCTATTAATTATTTCAATTAATTTGTTTTTAATCTTTTGTGCAGAGTTTTCAAAGCACTTTCTTTTTAATTTTCTAAATTTACTCAAAGTCTTGAAATGTCTTAGTATTTCACACACAAATTATTAAGGTTTTCACGCGAACATCTTCATTTTAAATTTTTATCACCTTTCAAAAGTTGTCGTTGCGCGTGATTAGCTGTTGGCGCTTTCCAGTTTTTCATTTACTTGAGTTTAATACCATTTCGTTTTGTTAAAAAATGAAGACTATT